ACGACCCGTGTGACTTAAAAACTTCAATTTCTTAACTTTTTAAGCCTCAAAATAGCTAAATCTTGGAAATAAACTGATACTTATTACTAATAACTAAATGGGATATTACAGCGACTATCGACCACAATCGCGAGCCCCGGCAATGCCGCGATCAGCTCTGGTGACCTCCCACAGCCCGTCCGACGATCCCGACGGCGTGACCCGACCCCGTTCATGATCCCGACTTCCGACATGCTGTTCTCGGTCATCCCAAATCCCGTCAGATTTAGAATTTTAAGCCGTAAGTTTTCTACGTCAAACCTTTAGATCTGTTGCGCATAGATTTATGTTTGCTATTGAATTCGTGACTTGTACATAAAGAGATCCTCATAGACCCCCAACACCTTTACCTTCTCCTCTCATCCTTATTGCTATTTGCTTGATTTATCTCTCCATATTTAAGATATAATGTTTGTTGATTACTTTAATTTCTCACTATAATTAATTATTTTCTTGTTCCGAAACTAGTACTACTCAATTACTTATCATTATTTCATAAATTAATTCGTCGGTCAAGCTTGACATAATAATAATTCTTGAACTCATTTCGAGGACGTCAGCAACCCGCGCGCCAAGACATGGTGTCTGTAAACAATTTCAAAGGCACATCATGTAATCCAAATTATTTACCCAAATACGGAGTCTATCAACCTAACAAAATACGTGTCGCTCCTGGTAAATCAAATTAATAATAACTAAATACATATGCCCGTTTATTGTCTTACGGGTTGAGAGAACACAATAATTACTGAGGTCTAGATTATTTACTTGGACATTATAAAATAATATATTATCCTCATGTAGGTTTGGTCAATACATCCGAGATGTACTAGTGTAATTCGTTAGTCAAAGATCAACTATCTCGAAAATCACAGTACAACCTTTCACAACAGTTTGTTCAATTTTATCTAGGATGTGAAAAAATATTTATATTTTATAAGGATCGATAATATGATATTTTTGTTTGACACATCGAACCATATTATCTATAATGTAAAATAAA